TCATGCCTTAATATGTCCTGCACAGATCACTAAATTTTAAAGGCCATTGGGTCGTGTAGTCTTACACTATTAAAGAACAGACATAGAACTTCAGAGTTTTAGGTCATTCAAATTTGTCTGCTTTCACTTCCAGTCATTGGCTCATGAAAACTAATGTTTGCAGAAAGGATGATCTTTTATACAACTAAATTGAAAACTGTCTATTTGGCTATCTGTATGTACCATCCTGACATCTGGTCCCACTCTCTGCAATATGTGCCGTGTCATTTTAGGGCCATGTTTCTGGCAGAGATGAGACCAAGCTTCTAGGTTTTGTTTCATTACAAACTCAGAAATCTCCGTGAAAATTCCCAAAACAGGAAAAAAAAAAAAAGACTAAATCAATTTTTTTCTAAATAGCAAAGGGGGCTTTTTCAGCTGTATTTAACACTTTATTTGTGGAAGCATTTCCCATTTGTCCAAAAGCTTGTTCATCCACCTGGTCTTGGGAACATTTATTCTATGTACTGCTTTACAGAGGCTCAAATGCAGCCCTCAGCGGCACTGTATCAGCATGCCTGTACCTGAGAGTGGGTACCTGAAGTCCTTCCAGCTCCAGATTCTCTCCCAACAGCACGGGTCCACATGAGGACAACAGCCAAGTGCCTGCACAACATCCTGGTTTCCCTGGGATGTAAATCTCTGCATGTGGTCCCAAAGGGAGTTGCAGCATGGTTTCACCATATCTGAATAAGCAATGGGATCAGCGTCCTCAGGCACACTGTAAACCCATCTGCTGACAATTTCAGCACAGTGTGACTCTGGTAATTGTGAGTGGTATGGAACGGATGGCTACCCATGCTATAAACAACCTCTTGGTAGCCCAGACTGACAGAGGTTGGATATTTATCTCCTCTAGTAGGCAGAACACATATAAAGGTTAAGCCTCAAGGTAACATAATTCTCTAGCTTCAAAAGTAGGGAGTCATGATTTTAGAAATGTAAGTGATGGTACATACACCAATGGAAAGAGTTGTTACATACAGCTAAGTACTCAGAATAAAAAACAGAATCACCACAAGTAACTCCAAGATAAAAATCAAACTTCCAGTCGCTACATACTTCACAGCCTAGTAACAATAGGAACTTCATGTGACCACAATTTCTGGATCCAAACCCACTACTCCAAATTTTTTTCTTTAATTTTTAATTTCAAAAAAAGAGACAGACAAACATGGACTTTTGGACTAAATCTAAATAAGTTTCAGAAAACTCTTTTACTTAAAAAAAAAAAAATCAGCCTCATTTCAGAGACCCCGAGCACACATGCTCCATTCTGGTTTGCACCTTGAAAATTGGCTGGATTCCTCAGTACGTTTTATAGTGTCCCTTCTCACACTTCTATATATGAAAAGATTTCTGCATGGCTTTGGTTTAGCCAGAATTTATTTCAGTGCAAGTAATATTTCCCAATTAGAAAAGATGCCATGCATTTTTCTGATTTCTAGGACTATCATCCTACCAATTTTCTTAAATAAGATACGTATCCCACTAAGGATTCCACTTTCCTCTCTCAGCTCATTTTTCTCCAGTCTATTTTACCTTGTTTTCCTACTCTTTCAATACTACTTAGCCACTTAATTCCTCATCCATCACATCAATTTAGATCACTCTATGCTGTGCAAGGTATCTCTCATTATCTTACCTTTCACCCTCCTTGTCATACATCCAAATCCCCCTGAGCAGACTGTAACAGCCTGGCTCTGTAACTCCAGGCATGGAAACCTACACCTCTAATTCTACCACAAATCATCTTAATCCCCCCCAATTCTCAATTTGTGTGTCACAATCCTTTTCATCATATTCTTGTAGTGAGGCTCCACATCCACTCAACAACAAAATAACTTTGATTTGTAGTCATGTTTGCCTCAGGTGGGAATTTCACAAGACTCCAGCCTTGGCCTAACGTTGTCCACGATGGGAATGACACTGTTTGTACTCCAGCCAAGACCGACTGCATTTGAAGAACTCCAACCCTCAGTAAGAAAACTCACATTTCCTTTTTTCAAGCTCCTTTTTTTAATCTTTTGATTTATCTCCTCAATTCTGACATTACAAAATAGCACTCAAGTGCATAAAGCATCTTATTATACAATGACTCAGCAGTCTCTGCATGAGTACCTACATCACATACAGTAGTCTACATCTACAATGGAGAGACATAAACCTAAACTTCCTCGGCCATATTCTTCTTCATGCATGAGAGACCTGCTCATAGGGAGGAAAATAAACTGCCTGCAATGGTGTGTTCCCCTACTCATGCAGTCCCTTAACAACTAACAAAAGTGCATTTGATGCTTTATGTGGAAAACAGAGAGATGGAGGTGGGACACCCAAGTGAACTTTGGAAAGTCATCTTTCACTCAGCTGGCTCTTCGGGCTATTCACTCTTACTTGGGTCCATCCTTCACCACCATACCAAGAACTCAAAGAGCACCAGGACCTGCCCCCAAGGTCTTTCCCACTAAGCTCTGACCTTCTGTTAGCTTCTCCTGAAATGCCAGTTCTAAAAGAACTCTTCTCTCTCCTACTTGCTGTAAGGAGGAAACACTCACCTTCTAATGAGAAATACTCTCCTTTTAATCAATCAGAATATTTCTTCCAAATTAAGCTTATTTATTTACTTATTTTTCACCTACGAACAGTGTTTGAGCATACTTCTGCTAGTGAGCCAAAAAGTTAGATCCCAGAAAAGAAGTACCAGTCAAAATAAATGTCGAAAACCAAATGAAGATAAAGAGCATTAATAACTACAAGCACCCAGAACACAGCGACCAGGTCAAAAGATTTAAATGTCAGAAAGCAAGCCGTATCACCAAAAAGAAATAAATCTCCCCTGGAAGACAGAGAAAAAGGAAAATGTAGACCCAAGGAGGAACGACTGACTGTTTACATACCTGTTTTCAAAATCGCTTCCATTCTTTTCAGGCACTAGGGAAAACTGGAGTTGGAAGGGTTTGAAATGAAGTATATAAGCAGTTACACTACAATGTCTGCTGGAAGCTCAAGGGCCGTAACACCCCATGCCATGAGAAAGAAATGTTACGCTTGGTTCTCTTATTAAAGAGGAGTTGATATTTCATTTGTTGGAAGGTAATTGATAGCAGCTCTAGGATCACTGGAGCTCATGATACCTTGTTAATGTTATTACATTTTGGTTAAAGTTTGCCACTGTAAGTATGCCTTTTTATATAACGCACTATGCCAATGAATCTCTTCACTGTCACAAATGTTGCAGATGGTTTATTTCCTCGCTATATGTTAGAGAAAAAGTTTAAGCTCATCATTTAAATCTGTACTGCTCCAGCACAGAAATTTTCTGTTTGTTTTACATATTAAAGAACGAATATCTGGAGACAACACTGCATTTTTATAAAAATCACGTTCCTCTTAGTCTGAAATTGGTTATCTTAAAAAGCTGTATTATATTTACAACCTTGATAATACCACCTCCTTGCACAGCCTGACTGTACAGCCTGCTTCCAGACAGGCAGCCCTCATATGATCTCGAATTCAAGTTGCAAGTATTATCGCTTCTGTCATATTTGCTATAAATAAAATGGAACAATGTCAAAAGATGGTACTCAGCACAGAGACAGGGATGGAATTTTAAAGGAGCTCTGCAAAATCTGCACCAAAGTCTGCATTAAAAAAATCAGAATGCAGATTTTATATAGTGAGGGTATATACCTGCAGAATTTGACAATTTAAAAAAAAACAACCACCCCAAAAAAAAAAACCTCAAAGGTGTTCTAAGAAAAAACTGTTAAAATATGAACAGAGGCTTTTTCATCTGTTCATGGCCCTAAAGATAAAAGGCTCTAGAGAAAAATTAAAACAAGTTCTAATGCCATTATAGTTGCATTTTAATAATGAATTTTCTCTACGCTGACTTGTGCATGCATTATTTGTCGCAGTTATTGCTTGTTTTCTCTATTATCTTAAGCTGCAAGCTCTATTTCTTAAATGTTAATACATTTAGCAGTTAAAAAGCTTTAATTCAGCATCCGTTTAAGATATTTATGTTTTCTGTCCTCAAACAGTTTCTAAGATTCCAGCAGCAGCTCAAGAACTGTTTAAAAAATTGGAGATAAATCTCCCTCTCAATCAGACATTTTAGAAGACATCACAAAAAAAAAAGAAAATTACAGCATGGTTCAAAACCTAATCCTAGGACAGGATTTTAAAAATGCTCATTCAGAGGCATTCTCTACTTTCGTATAAGTCAGTGGCAAATTTGTCACCAGCTTCAGCCAGAGCAGCTACAGTTTTGATTATTTACGTCAAGCCATATTAGTCTGCCCTGCAATGGATTAGGACTGCTTAAAGGCAATCACTGGGTCTGAGCTGACAAGGGAGGCTGGGGCAGGAGGACATCCCAACTGGTCCAGCCCATTTTGAAATGGACATGCAACAACGCTTTTGGATGACAAGCCAGTGACTCTAAAACCCACATCCATTAATGTACGTAGCCACATATTGTACTGAAAGCACAAGGCACGCCTTTTCCAACAGGAGAATGCCATGTAGGTAAAGCCCAGCAGCTTAAGACCATCTGGAATATTTGCACAGAGCTTCAGTCGCCTCTTACTGCTGCCAGATGCCTAATGAAAACAATCCTTTTGAGGCAGACTACTGTCACTTACCTCATCCACATTCTCAAAGGCATTGATGATGTCATACGGTAAACAGGACAGAAGATCAATCACAAACCACGTTTTCAGGTAGTTCATCCTTATGAGTTTGGGATCAGATATAACCTCTCCACCAGGGCCAACAAAGGTCGTATGAAAGTTCAAAACAATGTCAACCAGAAAAATAACGTCCACGACACTGTCCAGCACAAGCCAGGCAATATTGTTCTGTTTTGTCTTGAAGGAGACGTTATATGGAACCATAATTGCTGTGTAGAAGGTTAGAATTAAGATGACCCAGTCCCAAGTGGTCTTAAAAGCACAATAGTGTAGTATAATGTGTGGTGGAGTCTTTGGAGCTTCTTGCTTGTACTGAGGAAGAATATCAGATCCCAGCTGAAGAACCTGTAAAAGACAGAAAAGCAAATGTTACTATCTTCAATTAATATGATTCAATAAGAGGTTTTATGGATTTCTGTAAGGAGCAGCACAAAGACAGGACTGTGTTCATTGGACACTGGAAGTCAACCCGTAGTTTCTAAATTATCTGATTTAGAATGTGTGGAGGCAGGTATTACTCCATGAATGGGAGTAGCATAGCATCTAAGGATATTCTTGCAAAAAGGGAGGTCTTTTCGGATGGACTGAGGGGAAACCATGCCAACAGCAAGGGCAGAGAGGCTCCATAAACAGGTTGTGGCCACTGCCACCCCAGCTCATGCTCTGCAGTTAAGAACATGAGCATTCATTCATATTAGGAAGTGTTGAAAGACTAATCCTTCACGCCTGACCTCTTTTAAATCACTGTGGAGCCAGAACAATATCCTATCAAAGGTAAACTAGACTTCAGCCTTGCTGGCTGACCTCCTTCTAAAATGAAGCATTGCGTGCACAGTTTCTGCCCTAACAACCTGGCAACATCATGCTTCCTTCTCATATTCTTCAAAAAGTTACTGCTCTTACAAGCTCAGCATCACTAGTGGGTTCTCTTTTATTTCTTGTAATTACTTTTCTTTTTTGTATATGACTATAATCTCCTGCATGTGCACTTTTGTAAAATGTGGAACTGGAAACATGATGAAGGAGTCAAGCCAAATTCACTTAAGACATTCCTCCCAGCTAATCTAATTACCTCTTATCTCGGTCCAACACAAGAAATAAAAGCACAAAGGAATGTACAATGTGGCAATATATTGAGCTGACAACTGAAAGATTAATGTGTAATTTGGCACAAATAACACCTTTTACATTTGGGGATCACAAGTCTGTATGGGATAAAATAAGTCCAGCAACTTTAAAACTCATTTCAGCCCTACACCCATCCCATATTGGAGTCGATGGGCTATATCTGCAGGCACAGATGGATTGCAAATAGTAGTTCCATATGTGTAAAAATGATGAAATGCAGAACGGTTCCTCGATGAAGAGGAGTAAATGGCTCTGAATAAACACCGCAACAACTAAGAACACGAAGTCAAGTACCACAGATACAGATTCTCCATTAATTCTTTGCAGTCTTATCATTGAGAAAGATAAAATCACTGAAATCAGACAGTAAAAATCTGGCTCTGCTGAAAATCTGTTCTTCAGAAATCACCAAGGGACAACAACAGCAGCCTCTCGCACTCTGTGTTGGAGGATGTGGCTTCCCAACATGTCTAATCTGGCTCAACATCAGGCTGTAACCTGATGGGATGCAAATCTGCTTCTGCCTACCTGTTCCCACCCTCCCTAAGGTCAGATTTAGCAATCGCAACCTGTAAGGAAAGTCAGTTAAACTGATGCGATGAAAAACTAACTTATTGTGACATTAGTTAGCCATTTGTTTTCTACAGAGTCAGTTGTGTTGCCCAAACTCATCCTGTGCCCAGAAAACCACCAGACCCACTACAGAGGCAGCAGTGAGAGTGCAGCAGAGACCCGCAGGAGACCATGGCTGCTCCCTTTGCCAACGGCCTCTTATCACACCAGCTTTGGTGTAACACAAAGCCATGTGTTGAGCTCGAGCTGAACAGCAATGCATACCGAGTCATGTTGTCCCGATGGCACTCGTCAGAGACCCTCAGGATGCTAAATCCCTGGTGAGATCCATAAAAATATGAACCTCCAGGTGTCCCTTCCCCAGTGACCAGGACAACACTCATTAACAGCACTCCTGTAACCACCCAATGGACAAGGTTCAGCTGACCACTGCGGCACACTGAACTCACTGGTGGATCCATGGGTCCTTCCCTGGAATAAAAGCCATGATCGATATGGTCCTTTTTTCACAGCAGCCTCTCTGCAAATCCATGAAACTTCTTTCCCCTGCACTTAACACATCATTTTGGCTTTGACTCATAATCTGGTCATTATCTCCAGTGATGTCTTTGGACTCATCTGTGGTCAACATTTTACTGTCATGATAAATCAGGACTGGGACTTCTTTCCGTGGTTTCTCCAGATCTATTTATTCCCTGCCTTGTTCACTGGGGCAGGAGCTGGAAGCAGCCTCACTATAGCTGGAATAATAAGCTACTTGGGGCTCAAGCTGAATGCAATGAACATATGCTTGATAGTTCCCTATGCCTCTGGTGGTGGAGTGCTTAGGAGCTCCCATGACACTATAAAAGCATAATTATTATTCTTAACATAATATCATGCTGAGTTTGACATGGTGAGTGGGTGGCAAGTGGCTGTGGAGACCAGTGAACTATAATGATTATTTCTTTCGTGCTGCATGAATTTTTAATTTTAAACTACTAAAGAATACACAATATCTTGTTAGTCAGCTGCATTCATCACAGACTCTGAATTATTCTTGTATACAACTAATGAAAATGGCTGATAACTGCTAAGTCTGATAAAGGTGGGCAGTACGTTCTGCAAGGGATGAGCTGTTATGATAACACTCCTCCTCAGACTCAGAAGTATGGAAAATGGGGCCTGTACAGCAATGGTGTATCTCCACTCAGTCTGCATTCCTCACAGCACTGGGCCTTCAAAGCACTTTGCAGCTCTAGATGACTTGTAAGAGAGGTGATTGCATATTCTCCAAGCAACCTGTTACTGAGTACAACCTTCCCCCTTACCTGAGCTTTTCCTACTGCCTGATCTAAATCTTCCTTGCTGTGACTTAATGCCATTACTTTTTCTCTAGCTACAGCGGTCCCGGTGACCAATTTCCTCCCTCATTCTATGCAACTGCTTTAGACTTATTTGAATATTGTTACCATATCTTCTCCAGTCTTCCCTTCTCTAGACTAAACCAGTAATGGATATAACTGAATTTACAGAACACTGAAATGTCATGAATTAGAAAAGCAAGACATGAGAGTAACTCAGCAGTCATCCAAACTATTGGTATGGGATAATTCAAGTGAAAACATCACACTGCCAACATCTGAAAACTGTTAAGTTTCCATTCGGATTTTAATTTAAGTAGAGTTTTTATTATCAACTTCCACTAAAATCAGAAAGGGAATGAAAAAACCCATTTAAGGCTGCTACCACTTCTTCGTATCGAACCCAGGACAAACTCTCTGGCACAAGGTGGCTAGGGCTCTCATTTTCAGTAGCCCATATATTTTGACAATGTATTTTTGACCCGTATATTTCTCATTACCAACGGACATGAAGATGAAAGCAGTACCTCTGTTTCATCAGTTAACCTGAAGGCATTCACTTGTTGCACCATCTGCACTGTTAAGGAGATGTTTGCAACCTGCCAAAGAGTTCATTTCATCAGTTGCAAAGAAAAAAATGATGAGCAAAATACTGCAGGAATGACTTTGCATGAAAGTCAAGATTAAGGTATACATGTAGTCAGTGTGCCTGTACAACCCCACGGACCCAAACAGGGACACTTCCAAAGAGGTTTCTCAAATAATCCCACTTCCCTGGGAGAGCAAGCGACCATCCGCAGGGCTCAAGGACATCAACTCTGGTTCTGCGTCACTGTGAGACAGCATGCAGAGGAGCACACTGTGCCCTGTACCCCAGGTTAAGCAACAACCAGCAAACTGAGAATTGCATGCACAGAAATAGGGCCTTGTAAGTAAAAGTGACCTACGGAGACTGTTCTCATGACTAAAAGAGCACGACCTGTCCCAGAAACATGGGCTTGGCACAGTGTTGCTTTAGCATGAGCAGAGGAGAGGCTGCAAAAATCAGAGTTGGGAAATATTTTCCTCTAAAAATATTATTTATAAGTAGGAATAGGTTTGGGGTTTTTATCCCTCCCATCTCGTCCTGCCTTATGAAGGGCGCAGGCTGGTGTCTACCCCACTTACTTCAGCTAACCGGGAGTGTTTGTGGACCACCTCAGCCTTGTTCATCGGCGTCAGCTGCTGCAGCACGCTCCGGCTGTTCGTCAGCGCCCGCGTCAACCGAGCAAACTTTGTCCAACCTGCGGGAGAGAAGGAAACGGTGTCAGAAGTACTCAGCCCACATTCATCACTAGTAAATCTCCTTCTTGTCCAATGATATTAAGTCTCAGATTTGGACAGTTTCTCTAAATTGCTGCACAGAACAGCTTCAGGCTCCAGGCTTAAAGACCTTGCAAAAAGAGGAAAACCACCACTGCTTCAAGGCAACCACGAGTAAATCTGAGTGAAAGCAAAATGCTCTGGCTTGTTCTTTCTTCTGCCCTTTGGAGACATTGTGTTAGAGGGATCACATTGTGCTTTCAGCCTTCTGGGGGGTTACTCTGCTGCTGAAATCTAACTCTAAGCCACTGAAGTTAATGCAAAGGCTTCCCAAGTCTGCGATTCGGGTCCGCTGGAGCAGCCCCAAAAGTCTGATCCTTAAGTTTTTGCTGTTTCTTGCCCCAACTAGACTTCAGGGACAAAACTAAAACTTAAAAATAAATTAAAAAAAAAAAAAAAAAAAACCACACAAAAAGAAATTACTAAGACTTTAAAAGACAGATTAAGCACTAGATTTTAAATGGTATTAAGAAATACATTTAGCTGTTAAACTAATGATAAACAGCTGCCTTAATGGTAGCTTGAGACCCACACACCGGGTCGCCCCTGGGGAGTTTCTTCTGCAGCGTTCAGAGAAGAGCAGTCAGAGTTTGTTACTGACAGCAGCACCGACCCAGGAACGTGTCACCAAGTCACTCCTGCTACAAAAATGCCCAAGCATGACAGCTAGCACGGATACATCAACAGATGCGGTAGATCAGCGGTAGCAAAGAAAACGCCAGGGCTTTAAGCAGTGTAGCACCTCGGTGTTAAGCAGGAAAACTGAAAATTCAGGTATCTCCAGGAAGGAAATGCCTCCCCAAGAGCACTGAGGAGATGCTCAGCGTTCACTTTAGCCAGATATAGCCTGATATTTTACGACACAGGTCTGTATGAATATCAAACAAGTTACGGACAGGAAACGGGTTCAGGAGAAGGTTTTACTTTTATTTGACTTCAATGCTTAGTAGGTGAAAATTGGGAGAACAATCACATCTGAGAAAGAAAACGTAACTTTTCTATGTTAATAATGTTTATTTTTAAATGCCTGTTGTCTGATAGGAGTCAGGGACTTGGAAAGTAAAGGGAAGCCCTGGGGTAGATAAAATAAAGAGCAGTGAACAGACAAGACAATAAAACTTCAAGAAAAAAATAATTTACAGTTTGGCTTTGCAACTTACCACATACATATCACACTCATGCAAATGTAAATCCGTTATTCATCAGTTAGCAATCAGAACAGATCTAAGTATCATGATACACCACCAGCACAGGGCAAACCATTCGTCTGGGACTATTTATATACAACCTCAAAAATACACGTAAAAAATGCACTGTGAAAGGGTAAAAAGTAGAAGTATTTTGTTAACTTTTCAGATCTAAATGCAAACTTCAGATATGCTTCATGCTTCTCGAGCTTACAGGGATATTCAATTAGGAACATGCACTTTCCATACTCAACAAGGTCAAAAGACACTATAGTGATCTGAGTATGAACTATTAATTTCTAGAAAAAATTCTGGTTTTCTTTTTCCTAATTGTCTATAAAACCGTGGCAAGGAGACAGCTTTAAGGCTGAAGTCAGAACTGTTCTTTATCTTTCTTACCCAGTGATTTCAAAGAGCAAGTGAGCATGGCAACAGCACGGTGACAGCTCTGCCCCGACACTTCTCGTAATTGCTGGAGGCCACGGTGCATCCAGCTGATTGCTTTTGGCACACTGCAACCATGCTGCAAGAACCAGAGAAAAAGAGCAGCTCTCCTCTGGGAAGGTGGTCACCCACCTCCAGATGCTTGGAAGGTACCTACGCACATATGCGCACACTCAGTGTCCTCTTCCCCTGGAAAGACACTTCTCTCTCATCCACGGGGACGGACTCAGGGCCAGTCCCAAGCTGTAGTTTGTCACTCTGTCCCACAGAGCTGATACAGGAGTGATGGAAAAGTGCTCAGCAAGCTAAAACCACCACAGCCAAACTGTTGGATTCAGTTCTGAACACCCTCATTTGCCACATCTCATCATTCTCAGTTACTCCAACTCTGACAGGAACCTCATAAAGTTCAACAAGGAGAAGTGCAAAGTCCTGTACCTAAGGAGGTACAACCTCATGCACCAATATGTGCTGGGGGCCATCCAGCTCGAAAGGGTCTTAGCAGAAAAGGACCCAGGGTGCTGCTGGACCAGCCTGAACATCAGCCAGCAATGTGCCTGTGCTGCAAAGAAGTCAAATGGTATCCTTGGCTTCATCAGACAAAGTATTGCCAGCAGGTGAAGGGAGGTGATCCTTCCCCTCTACTCAGCACTGGTGAGGCCAGTACCTGGAGTGCTGTGTCCAGTTCTGGGCTTCCCCAGCACAGAAAAGACACAGACATTCTGAAGAGAGTCCAACAAAGGGCCACGAAGATGATTAAGAGACTGGAGCATCTCCCCTCTGAGGAAAGGCTGAGAGAGCTGGGACTGTTCAGCCTAGAGAGGAGAAGGCACAGGGAAGCAGAGGGGAGCAGATCTTATTAATGTATATAAATACCTGCAGGGAGGGTGCAAAGAGGATGGAGCCAGGCTCTTTTCAGTGGTGCCCCGGGACAGGGCCAAAGCAATGGGCACAAAATGAAACACAGGAGCTTCCATCTGAACATCAGCAAACACTGTCTTACTGTGGGGGTGACCGAGCACTAGCACAGGTTGCCCAGATATGTTGTGGAGTCTCCATGCTTGGAGATATTCAAAAGCTGTATGCACATGGTCCTGGGCAACCGGTTGTAGGAGGCCCTGCTTGAGCAGTGAGGTTGGATGAGATGACCTCCAGAAGTCACTTCCAACCTCAACCACTTTGTGATTCTGTGACCCTTCTGGTAGCTGATGGTTAATGATTTAACTTTTACTTTATTTTCTGAGGTTTAGGGTACTGAGCTGTACAGTGATTTGATGAGGATTTGGGGAAGAGTAAGGGGCTGGCAATGACAGGAGATGGCTTCATGTGCTTTCCAGAAATCCTTTCCTATGGTGCTTCACAGGCTGAGAAACACTCAGAAAAATAGGGGTTTTAAAAATGCCTCTCCTCTTAGAATAGCAAAACTGGTAAGAAACCCCTTTTTATCGTCTCAGGTAAGAAAAACATCCATTCTGCATTAACTGTAAATACAGAAAGCCTGGGGAGGTTGGGAAAGGTGTACCACAAAGAGCTGAAGGAATAAGATACATAACAGACAACCGCAATCCTTTAGCTATACAAATAAAAAGAAAGGAAGAACTATGACTTTTTCAAATACTCCTTCTCCACCTTGGTGAGATCATCAATATCATGTGAAAGAAAGAAGCCACACATTTTAGCATTCAGGGTTATTACTCTGCACATCTGGTCTGACCTCTTCTTTTCACAGAGCAAACCATTTCATCGTGTCCTTTCTCCATCAAGACCAAAGCTTTGCTTTGTGCTAGCACAGACCTTTTGCAAAAACCCTTCCAGCCTCATTTAGAGGCTTCCCATTTTCACACTTCTTTCAGCCCTGTGAAGCCCATGATTCTGGACGCTGAAGTACAGAATATGCTAACATGACCTTTTTCTAATTCAGCACAAAGTCCAGCATTATTCTACCTGCTTCAATTTCTCCACCTGCAATAGCGTGAAAAAGTACCAGGTTCTTTTGTTTCCTATTTACAACCCAAGAGATTTAAAAACATAGCAACAGCAAGATACTGGGGTATGAGTGGGAAGGTGAAAATGTATACAGGCTGCCTCGTGTCTGAAATAATCTGTACAGGGTACATTTCTCTGTTTCTTGACCTTGTTGTAGACTAGATAAGTTCAGAATTATATTTAAAACCAATGTGTACATTTAAATAGACCAGGCAAAATTTGCATAGCTGCCTACTGCTGTCAATGTTTCTTCAAATGATTCTCTCCTTTCTTTTCCTCTACAGTCAGGGACTTGAAAAGAATGATAATTTTATCCCGTGTATTAGTGACCGCCTGTCCTCACAGATATTTTCAGTCTGGAAGGAGTAAAGAAGCGGCACAAATAGCAGGTGCAAGAAGGATAAAAACCTACTTGTGAGAAAAAGCAACACTTCTGATGCTCTCTTCAGCTCAGCTGGATGGTGGCTTTCTTCCACAGCACCATGTGAAAAATAATACCTTGAACTTGCACCACTGCACTCAAATTCTTAGGAACAAAGGCAACACCATCAGATCGCACCCCAGATCAGGCCAGCAGCTGCTCGTCCTTACCAGAAGTTAAACTGGGTATTTCAGAGAAAGGTGTTAACTACCCCAGATGGAAAATTCTGGAATAAAATACATATAAAATGATTGTTTCCCCAGGTTCTCTTTAATTACTTACTGATTCATGGACAAAACCAGAAGAATTTGTACCCCTGCTTTAAAAAAAAACACCCTTTTGATATGCATTCATTCTCCTGATCCAAAACAAGGGTCTGTTCACAAACAGGAAAATATTTCCCTGTTCCTTTCCATTACTCAAAATTTTTGCATTCTCAAGAAATTGATGATGCAAGTTTAACAACTCCATACAGTTAATAAAACAGGACATAAAGAAGGAAAGGATGCTGACAGACATGGACTAAACTAGTCTCTGCCTTGGCCCAGCTGTAATGCTGGCCTTCCAAGCACACAACTTTCTTCTTCCTCCATGTGTTTTAGTCACAATTAAATACTTTACATCCACAAAATATTCTCCATGTCTCTTGCTCTAATTAGGACTGCCAATTTGACAGGCCTCTGACTGAAGAGCTAACTGAGCCAGGGATGACTTAGTGGTGTACTTCACACAATGGCTGAGCCAAGGGTTTTTCTGGAGGGAAAAAAATGAGTACTAAATTAATTAAAAAGAAATAAACTAGTATTTCTTTCAAACCTTAGCTGCTACAACATAAGTTGAAGCTGTTAGTGTTGTGCCAGGATGCTTGAGGGAGTGCAGAAGC